TTTTAAAAAAGACTTATCTCTGTGATTGGTTTCCATATCCTAAAAGCGATAGGAATTAAAGTTTCCATGAACACATGACAATCATGATTTTTCATACCTATCAATTTTCCTTCATTCATATCTACCCGCGTTCTAAATTCAAAGCATAGCCCTCCGGCATCCTCAAATTTTTAAACCACTCAATAATTTCATGTTTCTCATCCAATGTGAATGAAAAGTTGGCTTTGGGCTTAACTATTTTACCATTCTGTAATTCCTGCAGCCATAACTCTTTTCTCCTACAATATTCCTATATGTCCATTCTAGCTTTTAGATTGTCTTTTGTCTTACCCTTAACATCCATCACTGTGTTAAACAAATTGCCAAAGTAATTTTTTTTCAATGTGCATCACATCTAGATTATGTCGTAGCAGATTGTCCTTCCAATACGGCAACTCCCAAAATATGCTTTGTTTGGTCCAATTATGTTCAACACCATATCCAGGAAGTCTAGGAGGTGAAGCTTCTATAACTTTAGGTAATTGAGAAACTCTCTCCCAAATTTGATGCCCTGTGAGTAATGGAGTTGGGGGGTCACTTTCAACCTTATTTTTCCTAAATGCATTTTTCATCTTTCTAAACTCATGGTCCATTGGCAAGAACTGGCAATGACAATCAAACCATGTATTTTTTCTGCCATTCTTTAAAGTGAATGCCTTACTATTTTCCATACAATATGGACATGCTAGCTTTCCAACTGTCATCCAACCAGACAACATCCCGTATGCAGGAAAATCATTAATAGTCCACATTAAAGAAGCATGCATAACGAAATTCTGCTTAGTTGATATATCATAAGTCAAAACGCCTTCAAACCACAATTGTTTGAGCTCATCTATCAATGGTTGTAGATAGACATCAATCAAACTCTTTGGATTACGGGGACCTGAAATAACACAACTTAGAAAGATGTAGGGACTGGTCATGCACATTTAGCACATTTAGGAGGAAGATTATATGGAGTAAGAAATACCGGCCAGCATGAATAAGGCGAAGCATTATTAGAGAATGGTGTGCAGCCATCTGAACACAACCCCAATCTAACATTTCTTGGTTCACTAGCAAAATCAGGATATACATTATCAAAATGCTTCCATGTTTCACCATCAAATGGATGAGACAAGACACCCGACGGCCTTCTATATTCACGATGCCATCTCATATGTGGGGCATAACTCATCGATGCATACAACCTCTTTAACCTAGGAATGAGAGGTAGATAATGCATCGCCTTAACTGGGACCATCTTTCCAGTTGGAGTCCTCTTATAACGAGCATGTCCACAAAACTTACAATTTTCTAATTCACTATTAGTCTTGTAAAACAACATGCAGCCATTAACACAACAATGAATTCTATCATACGTCAATCCTAACTTGGACACCAAACGCTTTGCCTAATAGAAGTTCTTTGATATGTTAAACTCCGGATTAACTAGTTCACCCAAAAGATCAACCATTGCGTCCATAGCAGCATTAGGAACATTCCAATCTCATTAAATATTCATTAATCTAACCGCAACTGACAAGGCAGAATGCGGACTCCCTTCACATAGTGGACGACTAGACTCTTCTAATTGATCATAAAAGTGTCTTTCTTCTTCATTAGGAGTTTCATCAAAATATTGTTCCGGTTCCATCCCACCTTGAACCCCGAAAGCATCATTGATCATTTCATGAACCCTATCATGTTCAACCCTAATTTGGCCATGTAGTGCAACCATATTATTTACATCCACAGGTATAGAATTATAAAACCTACCATCCAATCCATCACTTTCTCCATGATCAATCCATTCAAAATATCGAGGCTTAAATCCATTACGGTACATATGAACCATAACTCTATCTGGTTTAAAAAATTTTAAGCACTTACATGCACTATAAGGACACCTAACCAATCCATTATTCTTGAAAATGTCAAGTGTCATTGTATGTTCAATAAAATTTCTAACACCGTCAAAAAACTCAGATTCAAACCAGCACCAGTTTCATAATGCATATTATACATCCACAAACAATGATCCATCTACAAAAATATAGATATTCAATTATAGTATAAATAAAATTTAATAATAATTTTACTAATAGTAGTCCTAAAACTAGTTTAGTATTGAGTTAACCACACTATTTATTTTAACTTATTAAAACAACTTAACAACTTTAACTAGTTTAGTTTCGACTTAATACAACAACTAAATCCACCAACTAAACCACATTATTTAGTTTAAATTATTTAAACAAGTTAACAAATTTTTAACTTGAACTAGTTTAGTTTTGACTTAATTCCAACAACTAAATCCATCAACAAAACCACATTATTTAATTTAACTTATTTAAACAACTTAACAACTTTATAACTTTAACTAGTTTAGTATTGACTTAATTCAAACAACTAAATCCACCAATTAACTAAATCACATTATTTATTTAACTTATTTAAACAACATAACAACTTTAACTAAATCCACCAATTAATTAAATCAATAGGATCAACTAGTGTTGGTACTTATGCTTAACAAATATATTATTTCTAAATTTAAAGCTAAGTGTCAACACTAGATAGACACAAATCGGTCTTGCAAGAAAATCATTTTTGTCATCAATAGGATCAACTAGTGCCTCATAAAAAGTCTAAATTGACACCTTTTGAATTATGAAAATGTCACAAGCTAAGTTTGGGATACCTAAGAATTTGTGATTGTCTAGCCTGTGAGACTAGTGGATCCCAAGATTACAAAGTTGGTTAAGAAAGTTACTGCTTGTGCTTTTCTTGGTTATGCTTCAAATAGTACAACCTATAAATTTTTTAATCTTAAAGATAATATTATAATTGAATCAGGTGATGCTATTTTTCATGAACATAAATTTCCATTTGATTATAAAAATAGTGGGGATCAAAGGATTGGACAAAATTTTTTTTGTCACTACCTAGTTCTTCTACTTCTACTTTAAAAAGTAAAAAAAAATGAGAATGCTGACTGAGAAAGGGAAAATGTGGGACTTTTTCTGTGTGGATCATGGCAAGTTTCCATAAGATGATGAGATTGGAGAATTTTATGGATTTGTGATCACCGGAAGTTGCAATGATGAGCATGACAATGTTAACTTTTATAGATCTTCCAAAAATACATAAATCAAAGACTATCTTTACTAAAATAAATCTGTTAACAATCTTAGCAATTTTACTCAAACCATCCTTTAAGGCCTAAACAATACTTCCTATGTCTTATCCCTAAATTTAAGAATAATAACAATCTTATCAATTTTACACTTATTTGACCTATGTAATGCTATTGATAAAGTTATTATCAAAATCATTTCAATTGTATTAAGCCCTTACCAGACTAGTTTATTGAAAGGTCGTTGTGTTTGTAAAATTGTTATTCTTGTTCAAGAAGTTTATTAGATCAATGTTTCCAAAAGGAAGAAGGGGAAGCTGATGCTTAAAATGGATTGACCAAAACCTTTTAATCAAATTGAATAGGCCTTTGTTAATTATACTTTTCGATTCTTTAAATTTTCTCCAAAAAATATTAATTATATAACTAACACTAACATAGCTATCCATATTAATGGTACCCAAACAAATTATTTTGCAACATTAAGGGTCATTCACCAAGGATTACTGGTTTAACTTACCTCTTGCTTGATTCAAATTTCTTCATTTCATTGATGCTTTGTGTTTCTTTTTGCATTGGCACAGAGCTCTGTATCTGTGGTGCATAGTTAAGTAGAAGTTGTTTTCGAGAATGAAAAACTTGTACACGCTTGGTGGCCACATTCATATTCATCAACGACGGTGCCTAAATCTTGGCTAATCCCCATAAACATATACATTCTACATAAACCAATTTATTTATTTTTGTAGACTTCTTGAGTTTAATTTTCTCTCGCTAATAGGAGTAAAGGAAAATATTTTTATATTCTAATTCTTTATAAATCTACTCATTAATTACATTTTAAAATAGTTTGAATAACTTCAAATCCTTTAATATTGTTAGAATAAGTTCATTTACTTGTACCTTACAACAAGTAGTGTTGTACACTCTCCTGATACACATTAGTGATTATAGGCAATATGTTCATGAGTATCTAATGAAGCAGAGTACACATGAGAAAGGTTTTTTTGTATTCTTTCAATGATATAATGTGTTGTTTAAATACAAAAAGAATTATGAGGTAAAGGATCTCGCAATATCAATAAAACTAAGGAATCCTAACAAGTTATTAAAGATGCATAATTAGAGAATATGGAATAATGAAATCAACAATATTTGACATGCTTAGATTAGTTGAGTCTTACACTACTAGCAAGTCTATGATACTATCTTGGGAGGCACATGATTTTTTCTTCGTGAGAGAAAGCAAATTCTTTGTATATGCGATTCCTTCAAATATATTTGAGTTTTGTTTGAGTGTGTGGATTGATTCCTTTTCTTGTTTGATCGTTAACGGCACATGATTCAAAAAATATTTCTGAGGTATCTAGTTCTTACATTGATGTTTTAATGACCCTCTCGGTCATTTTCTTTGTTTTCTGATCTTTTCAGCGTTAAGAGATTTCTTGTAGCGTGCCCAAGTCATTTATGACTTGCTGGGATTGACAGTTTGGTCGGTCATTTAGATTTTGTTCAAGTTTTCATATTTTGGGGTGTTTGAAACTTGAATGGTTGACTTTAATAACGGCTAGCATCTAAGACTCTTGTTACCTGTAGGACTCTTCTTACTTGTATGACTCTTTTTATTTTGCTTATCAGCCTTTCTATCTTTAGAAGTGTAAGTACATAGGTTTCTCTAAGTTGTTATTTTATTCTCAGCCTTGTATGTAATACACTGGCTATATAAAGGACATCATAGTAATCAATACATAGAAGTTAATCTGCGTCCAGTTCTTCTATTTCTCTTTATGGTATTCAGATATCTATTGCTTTAACAAGCTTTATCCTTTTTTTCCCCTCCATGCCCACACACCTCCAGCCTAAAATTGCCCCAAAAACAAGTGTTCAGTTCAATCCAGTTACTCAACTCCCCATCAAACTTGCTGGTAGCCATAACTTTTCGTTGTGGAAGGCCCAGGTGTCCATGCTTATGCGTGGACATAACCTCTTTGGTCATCTTGATAGATAGATCACAATTCCTTCCAAAACTATCTTTGAAAACAACCTCGAAATAACCAATCCTGCCTATGTTTCCCGGTTTCAACAACATTAGCTTATACAAAATGCTATCCTGGCAACTGTGGATGCGACCATTGGAAGTACAGTCGCTTCTACTCCAAATGCCCAAGTTTCTTGGGATGCCTTGCATACTGCTTATGCAAATAAATCTCAAACTCATATCTTTATTGTTAGAAACCGTCTAGCCCATCTCTCCAATGACTCTCGTCCTGTTGCAGACTATCTCCATCAAGGTCACTCTCTTTGTGATGAACTCGCCACTGTTGTCTCCCCCGTCTCCAATGAAGAATTAGTTGTCAAGATTCTTACTGGTCTTGGGTTTGAATTTCAAAAAAAATCAGCTACTATCCGTGCTCGAGATTCGGTGATACCCTACAGAGAACTATATGAAAAGCTTCTTTACCTTCAGCATGAGGATGCCAAAAAGATACCTTATGTTCCTATTACTGCCAACTTTGCTCAAGGGACTACTTCTATTCCTACCCGTCAGGGCTCCAACAATAACCAGAACAGTAATCGATGATCCAGTGCACAAAATCATCAAAATCATAATTAATATTGGCATAACAATCAGCAACCTTGGCGCAACAACCAACAACAACCTCTATTGCCAACTCTGTAATAGTAGAGTTCATACTGCTCGTGTTTGCCAAACACGCTCTCACAATCATATTCAAGTGCGTGCTAATTATGCTGCACACCTCTAGACCAGCTACCTCCATGGATTGTTGATAGTGGTGCCACTCACCATATTGCCTCAGACACACAAAGTTTAACTACTACGCAAAACTACCACAGTTCAGAGGAGATCATCATGGATCTCTCATACTGGTAATGTGAACTTTAATGCATCAAATCACCAATTCCAGCTTCAACATGACCTTTGCTCTCCAGCTATTACAACTATTCTAATATCTGTCTCTAAATTTTGTCAAGATAATAACTCCTCTATGGAATTTTTTCCTTTTTCTTACCTTGTGAAGAATTTGACTACGGGGGTGCATTGGCCCGTGGATGGAGTAAAAACAGGTTGTATGAGTGACCACCGAGGATGTTGATGGTGCGCCACAATGCAACGTTGTTGTTCCTTACCACATGTGGTATCAACGATTAGGCCACCCTAATCGTCAAGTTCAAAATAAGTTTTTGCATGATTTTTCTATTCCAGTAGTTGATTAAAAAAGTAGTGTTTACCATTCATGTTATTCTAATAAAAGCCAAAGGATGCCTTTTTCTAAAAGTTCTTTGCATAGTGCCAATACATTAAATTTACTTTACAGTGATGTGTGGGGGTCGTCACTGGTTTTATCGATTGAGAAAAAATGATACTATGTTTTATTTGTTGATCAATATTTAAGATATTTGTGGTTGTTCACACTAAAAGCTAAGACTGAAGTTCTAGAAATTTTTTAAACTTTACATCCCATGCTTGAAAAACATTTTAGCACAAATTTTTTATCCTTTTACACCGATGGTGGTGGTGAGTTTCAAAAATTAGATTCCTATTTAAAAACACATGGCATTGAATACTTAGTGTCCCCCCATACACGCCACAAAGAGTAGCCTTCGTTGAACGCTGACATCGGCATGTCATCGAGACAACCGGCACCTTATAACTACACCAAGCATCCTTAAGTTTTGGAGTTATGCATGTCATCAAGCTGTTTATTTGATCAATAGGATGACTACTCCCAATCTACAAAATAAATCACCTTTTGAAATCCTATTTCAGGTTGTGCCTAAATATTATTCCATCAAAGTTTTCGGCTGCTTATCCTATCCATGGCTCAAACCGTATTCCAAAATAAATTAGAACCTCAATCTGCCCCATCTGTTTATTTAGGATTTTCTAACAAATATTATAGCCATCAACGTTTTGATCCAGTTAACTCCAAATTATATTTATCCAGGGATGTAATTGTTTTTGGAAGACAATTTTCCTTTTCAAAATATTTTTTTCAGGTTCCGTAATAAAGTTAATGTTTCTTAGGATAACATTTCTGGTGAACAACAATCCAAAGAGGAAACTAATTCAATTTTGCGTTCCTCTAATCAACTTCCCCCACCAGTAACTACGTTGCCCACGGTCACTCAATGCCTGCAAGATATATATGGCTTCCTACCCGCCTCAACCAGCAACAACTCTTAGTCAACCTGACCCACCAATCCAAACCAGGCCAAACCAGCCAGCCACCAAAGTACACCCAATGACTACTAAATCACAAGCTCATAGCCTTAAACCTCGCCAATTTCTCACAACCACTACATTGTCTCCAAAAATCCCCATAACTCATAAGCAAGCCAAGCTAATTCCCCAATGGAATTCAGCAATGCAAGCCGAATTTGATGCTCTTGTTTGCAACCATACTTGAGATTTGGTTCCATGCGACTCTTCCAAAAATGTGTTGGATTGCAAGTGGTTATTCCGAGTCAAACATAAACCTTATGGTTATGTTGATAGGTACAAGGCTCGTGTGGTTTCCAAGGATTTACACAGCTCCCCGAACTTGATTATCATTCCACTTTTAGTCCAGTAGTCAAGCTTGCTATTGTCCGTCTCGTCCTAACTATCGCCAGTCAACTTGAATGTCATGTCCATCAGCTGGATGTTAACAATGCCTTCTTGCAGGGTCGTCTTACTAAAGAAGTTTACATGCAACAACAACTGGGATTTGAAAACTCTGGGAATCCTACCCATGTATGTCGTCTTTAGAAAGTAATTTTTGGCCTCAAACAGGCTCCTCGTGCTTGGTACACCGAACTCAAAAATTATCTCTTTACTTTGGTTTTTGTTAAGTCGCATTCTGATTCCTCACTCTTCATTATGCATAAAGCTGGGTTCACTGTGTATATTTTATTTTATGTGGATGATATCTTAGGGACTGGTAATCAATCACCAACGAGGTGTTCATCATATCACTGAAGCTCTTTCTCAACATTTTTCACTGAAGGGCTTAGGACCTATTCATTACTTTCTTGGTATTGAGGTGATTCGTTCTTTTGCTGGTCTTCTGCTCTCTCAAGAGAAGTACACTATGGATCTCCTACATGAGGTAGCTATGGATAACTGCAAAGGTGTTTCCACACCTATGACATCTACTATAGTTTGTGATCCATCGCCTGATGATCATTTAGTTGATGGTTCCTTATATCGACACATTATTGGTAAAGTTCCTAACCTTTCATTCACGCATCCGGACATAGCTTTTGTTGTCAACAAGTTTTCCCAAGCTATGCATCAACCATTTATGTCTCATTGGGTTGCTCTTAAATGATTTCTCCGCTATCTCTGTTCAACTACCTCTTTTGGTGTGCTCATTGCCAATGAAACTGATCGTAGGTTACTCACGTACTCTAACTCATAATGGGCAGGGGATCCCCATGATCGCACATCGACCACTGGTTATGTTATCTATCTTGGTAGTTCCCCTATTTCATGGTCTTCAAAGAGGCACTGTTCAGTTTTGTGTTCATCTACAGAGGCATAATATCGAACAGTTGCTGCTATTGTTTCTGAAACTAACTGGCTCACCCATCTTCTTCAAGAGCTTCAGTTTCCTCTTACTGTTGTTCCAAGAGTTCTATGTTACAATATCAACACCACTTATATTTTTGTGAATCCTGTTTCCATAGACGCATGAAGCATGTGGCCATCGACTTCCATTTTGTCCGAGAGCAGGTTGAGCGCAAACGACATAAAGTTGCCCATTACATGCTGCTGATCAAGTTGTAGATCTTCTTACAAAGACTCTTCCACGTGCACTTTTTGGTAACCATTTGTCCAAGTTGGGCATAGTAAACCTCAACGCAAACTTGCGGGGGCGTAATAACGGCAAGCATCTAAGACCCTTGTTACCTGTAGGACTCTTCTTACTTGTAGGACTCTTTTTATTTTGCTTATCAGCTTTTTTATCTTTAGAAGTGTAATTATGTGGATTTCTCTAAGTTGTTATTTTACTCTCAACCTTAAATGCTATATAAAGGCCAACATAGTAATCAATACATAGAAGTTAATCTGTGTCCAATTCTTCTAATTCTCTTTAGACTTCAGTCAAAAGTTTGGGGAAACAGCCTCAGATGCAATTCTAACAGTTTCATCATCTTTGGAAGGTCCATTTTAGGCTAGGGGCATGGTTGGTTCGGGCCTGAGACTTATGGTGTGAATTTGTGATGTTAGGTATTTTAACTTTGAAGATTAAGCGAAGGGTTGAATTTGGTCAACATTCTTGGTAAATATGCTCAGATGAGAATTCTGTCAGCGTGGTTAGCTCCAGAATTTTGAATTTTGTCTAGAACGATATTTTGTGCAGTTCCCTAAGTTTCCGGCCTCATTATGAGCCTTTTTGTCATTTTTAGCTTAAATAGAACTTAGGTGTGGGAGACCATCTTTCATCAAAATAACCTCGGAAGAAAGTTTCAATTATTTCATTGAGTCTAGAATGCCAAATTCGATGGGGTACCATATATCATTTTTGTGCACAAGGTTCCGAATGAACTCTGGGCACCCCGTGAGAGAATTCAGAGTTTGAGCAAACCAGCTGAAGTGCTGATATCTGGTGCAGACTTTTAGCGATTAGATATCTGACTTTTAGCGACCGATTTTAGGTATTTATATCCAGGAATTTCAGCTTTCAGCCTTCATTTTCAAAAGGCGATTTCTCCCTTATCTGATCTCTGATTTGAGTGATTTGAAGTTCTATGTGATCGTTGTGAGTGTGGATACTTGAGTTTGTGATTAGAAGTTGGGAGGAACCTTCATTTGAGGTGAATTTGAGCTCGAAGTTGTTGCCTTTGCTTGGTTTTATTGTTAGTATTGCATTTTGTTGTTTTGGTTGTTTTCATGCCTCAGATCGTACTCAATTTTGGAACACAAGTTTGAGGGGTAGCTTAGGACATTTTGATGGAGTCAATTTTGGATTCCTGGTGCGGGTCCCACATTCCCATTTTGACTCAATTTTGGGTCTATTTACAATTGTTACGATTTTAGTGTCAAAACATCTGTACTGACATTATATTATCAATAATTTGAAAGTTTGGCGGTGTTGTGAGGCATTTCTTATGCGGATAACTCATATGTGGTGGATTTAGAGTGCTCGTGTTCTACTTTGTGGGTAGGCTTCAGTCAACTTTCTTAATTGATTTTCTTAGATAATGCCTAGTATAGATTTTATGTCGGATGCTATTTGCCGGACATTTAGCTTTCCTATTCTTTCTTGATTTTGTAGGAGCCTTGGACTTATTGTGGGTGTTAGGATCCTTATTATAGATTGTGGCTTCACTCATGAAGTAAATGATCTTGCTTTTCCTTGTTTGGAACTATTTGTGGTTACCTTAGACTAGGCTAGACATTAGACGCTTTAGATTGTGTTTTATCGCCTCGTTGTTATAGTTTAATTCCTTTAGGGCTTGTTTTGGGTTGTTCTCCTTGCATTGATTTTTGTGACCTTGGTGTCTCGTCATAGCTGTGGATTGGTCCTAGATGTGCCTAGTGTGGGACTAGAGTGGTGTGATTGGGGTAGGGCG